TTTTCCTTTATATATTGAGCGATTCTTAGTCCTTATACACCCACCTGAATGTATTTCTTGCTAAACTCAGCAAGGGCGACGGGCTAAGCTGTACAGTATAGACGGCGATCACTTTTGCTACGAGACAATGTGAGAAGTCAGGCCAGCACACTACGTAGCTTTGCTTCGCACATAATTTTTGCGCAAAGTGCACGATCATGCCTTATTCTGCCTTGGTAGGTTCAACACACCCTACCTGTTTGTACAACAGTTGAGAGAGTGGTCTGGCCACTTTGGCGCCCACGGAGGAGAAACAATTCCTCGCGCTTCCCAAATTCCAGCATCAGAAGCCGCGAAACAATCTCGACCCCTGCCTGTTGACGATTTCCAAAGGGTTCTCGATTGATACTTTCATGGTTTTCATTCTGGATCTACCAGCTAATCGAAGCTACGGCATCGTGGACGCTTGCGTGAATAGACACAGTAAGTATACCCACTTCACACCCCGTTGGACTTTACTTGCAGCTGAAAGAGTAGCCGAAACGTCTTGAGTCTTCATGGATTCCTGCAAAGCATCATTCCTGAGGGGGACTTGAAATTCGCTATCGCCTTTCACTCGAATTCCAAAGTGCTTAATATCGGGCTCATGACCACAACGAGCCACCGGGCGGCAGACTGTCTAACTGAACCGAAGGCAGTAGCCGCACGCTTGTGTAATATCTGCGCCTCTTTAACAAGAAAAACTCATCAAGCCAACTTGATGAGTTTTGCTTGTTATGTCAACCCTCGTGCAGAAGGGATCCATAGAAGAACATTGCATTCCTCAATGCCTCCTTAGTATACGCTGAAACGTCCTTCTCTTCCCCGGCGGTGGAGCTGGCTGTTAGCAGCGGTCCCCATCCGTCGGCAAGTGCAAACATAACCAGCAGCACCGAGGACATGCACAAAGAAAGCACAAGAACGTCAGGCGAGTAGCAGCGGCAAAAGATGTTGAGCGGTCATGTTCAATCATTGAGACTTTGTTCAACTGGGTTTGCACGATCTTTGAAGTGCGCGCGACGGTAAAAAGACGAAGGAGTTTGCCATGCGCTGAGTAGAGCAATATGCAGGCAGTTCTCAGGTGAATACGATGGCATGCATCATCGGCTTAACTCCAGTATTGAGGCGCCATCTTACCATTAATGGTGGAAGTTTAGAAGGGCTGGGAAACTGCCAAAAGTTCTTCGAACCCTCCGCACAAAAAGACATAACCGTCACTGCGGAAAGGAGCAAATGAAGGAGAATGAGGAAAAGGACACAAGGTTAACGGCTGCCAAAGACCACAACAAACGTTAATATTTCGTTGGATGGCCAGGAGACAGATGAGCGAGTGAGCTTGCGTAGTTGTGAGCTGTAGCTCTAATTTGGGTTGCACTTGACCATTCGGTAGGAGCTTCACTATCAGCTGTAAAGAGGTTCCCTCATCTTTCGACCAACGTGCTCTGCTGCGCTGATTGTTTCTCTCATCTGAGCTCCCTTCCTTTCTCTACCTACGGGCAGGTCGACGCCGTTGTCGAGACCGCTCTCATTTTAATTATGTTTGAGAAGCTGGGCTCCATTTAGTGGGGCTTGCTGGTTACCCCGCGCGGCGTTACAGTCACCCCGCGGGAGCTGTTGGTGAGTTCCAGGTGGTTCTCTGTGCATACTCACATATCTTCATAATTCAGCGACTGCTGAGCATTGCAGCAATTGTGTTGCGCTGTGTACTGGAGATATTCAGGGAAGACAACCAGCGACAGCGCCACCAAAAGTGATAGCGGCAGCTTCTGCAGCGGCAGATGCAGCAGCGCCAAAAGTATCAGCAGCAAAAGGAGCATGACTTGCACCTGGAGGGTTCTCTGGTTCTGCTGCAGAGGTATGGGATAAGCAAGAAGCAGATGCAGCAGCACAGAAAGCAGCAGAGCCAGCAGCGTTGATGTTGGCGGCTGAATGGGAATTGCAGCGAATTTGGCTCTGCGGCCAATTACTGTAGGCCTTAGGAGGAATAGAACTTGTCACTTGCCACTCGAGCAGCAAGAACTCCGCATGCAAGCGCTGCGAGAGCAAGAGGCGCAACAGCAAGCGATGCACAAGCTGAAGATCCAGCACCATGTGATGCAACAACAAGCCGCACAGCAGCAAGATGCCCAGCAGAAACCGATACTGCAAGAAGGAACGAATGAGCCGCCGCAGCATCACCAGCTGCAGCATCGTCAAGTACCACAGAAGCCTTCCTTTTAGTCCAACCACCTTTCTACTGGGTAACCACGCATACGATGGCGTGTGCTTCTTGGACGAGAACGTGGGGAAGCAAGGGGAGAGGATATGTATGGTGTCTCTGAATTTGGAAGATGCATTTCTACTTGAGTGCAGGCTCTCTACTGAGAGGAAAGTAAATGCTTAGCATATGTCTACATGCTAGTGCGTGCAGCAAAAGGCTCTTCGTTGTGAATACACGCGAGGTTTCGTGCAGCACTACTTGCCACAAGGCGTGGTGCTGCTCACGACTTCTGCCTCTTTGCAGCAGCTCCCGCTGCTTGAGCCACTGTGCCTAGGGCATACTGGGATAGCTCAACGGCTTTTATGAAACCCCTTATCTCAAGTATTTTGATTGTACTGCACCTCACGAGGGTCATCGGATACGATCGAGGAATCTGAGTGACAGTGGTATATGGCTGAACGGTTTAGTACCCTAACGGTGGAGTCACATATAGAGGCATTCGATGAAATGGCTGGGCTACAGTGAGGGGCCCATGACCAAACTGGCGTTCGCAGCGTAGGGTTGATGCAGTAGTAACAAGATGGAACCTGACGAGCAGGGATGGTAGACTCGTTGCACAATCGCTCAACCCATATCTACTCGGTAGATATGGGCTGAGCGATTGACGGTACGGGGCGACACAGAAGCATGCTTTATCTAATTTTGTTTGTTGCTTGCAGGATGGAGAGGACAGAACTGTGCGGCAGTTACCCATCAAAGCGAGTAGGTCATCGTGCTCTTTCCATCTCATTTCATGCAGTAAACTAACGCCTAAAGCCAAAATCCCACAGTACAGGCCATGCTGGAATGATGCAGCTTACGCATTCACGCCGCATCCGAACCAGTGGTAGCGTCTCGATATTAGGAGCTGGGTGAGCTGCACTAATAGAGGAAAACGACTCTACAGAAGAGCTATTCAAAAAGCAGCTAAGGGCTTCTCCCCAGTCTCCACGCGTCCCCGGCACAGCAGCAGAAGGGTCTTCAGCTGGTGTGGATCGTGCGTAGCCTGGCATGGCATTAGTTGCAACACTCCGTGTTCCAATTCATGCAACACTCCTCCCTGTAATGAAGGCATCCCCACATGCAAGCATTCCCAAGCCTCCCTTGGCTTGATTCAGTAACACTGTAGACAGTTGCTAACCATTCCCTACACCCAAGCAGAAATAATCTAACCTCCCTCCTGCTCGTTTTTCCTTGCTGGTAGCCCGGTTCCCTGTTAATGCAATGGACCCGTCTGGTGTCTAGGTAGTCTCTATCAACGCGTCTCTCAGTGTACGGGAGGGACCGCCATGACACAAAGACGTTAAGGTATCTTTGTAGATGCTGTTCAAATCTGTTCGCTCATTTTCTACGCCACCGTCCACCTCCAGACTGCTCACAAAAGCCGTAGGAGGTATCCTATTTGGAACGTAGGGACTAAATATGGCAGCAAATGTAGAAGCAGCGATCAGCAATTGCCCTTCCCAGTGCCCGCTGAGGACCCCAGCTTTCGTCGGCACTCAAGTCGTTAGCCCGTCGTAGCCTCCGACTGAACACCAGCAAGCGCTGCATGACACAGCGCTGCCTACAGACAAAACGGGAAGCGAAAACAATGCTGTTATTCAACGCCTTGCCTGCTTGAAGCTAAAGTGCGTGAGCTGGTCGTACTGCTGTTCGTGCCACGGCTCGGTGACGATAAACCGTTGCAAGAGCACATAAGACACTTTGTGGTGGCTCGCTAGTAGCAACGACGAAACAATCACCCTGTAACGAGCAAAAGGCCAACGGCCTCAAAACAATTCAACTCGACAAAAGCCCTTACAACAGCCACACGTAAAGCTCCAAAACAGCCGGGCCTCAGTGTGTATAATTTTCATTGCTTCAACAGGACCGTGATGACGCTGTAAACGGGCCAAACGGTGCTTTTAACCACCCGTAGCATGATCCCGTTCCTACGGTTGGCATCGGCAGCAACAAAGGCTCAACAGCAAACCCCACCCTACCTGACAAAAAGTTAATAATTGTCCTTTGCCACTGCCTCCGCCTTTTAAGAAATTTCCTAGATTCCTTCCCATACATCTACTTGCCTTTGCATTGAGCCGCTGGTGATGCTGTGTAGTCCACTGCAGTGGGTATCGGTGGGAGACGTATGATGTACAGAAGCGGAAAAGGCAATGCGCTTTGCTCGAAGAGAGTAATGTCAACAGCTTCACTATCTGCCTGGATGGGCTCCACTTCCTGCCTGAATAGGCAGCTGGCACGTTCAGCTGCCACAGATAAGAATGGAGCGCAGCCTCCGAACACAGAAAGCTTAGAAAAGATAAGATCAACACTTCTTCTGTGAGCCGTTCGCTCTCTTCGACGGTCCTTTGACTGTCATAGTTAAACGCCCGGCCACATTTTTCCTTCCCTCGTATATAGATCCTTCCCCAGTCCCTTCGGTGCCCGTCAGTTCTTTTTGTCGGGCATTAAGCAGCCCTCAGCGACCACCGAAGGTTCCGTCCATTCTATACAAAGCAGTCCGCTGCACCTGGTTCATATCACTGCTCGCTTGTATTGAATGGAAGCCTCTTAGCCTCGCCTTTCGCCAAGACTGAAGCTGGCAAATTCCCTAGACACATCAGCGGGGCTCATAGATACGCCGTATGTGCTTCATGCTTTCCACACATCACTATGCTGCCTCTTGCTGGTTCACGGGAACCGGAAGTACAACTGCATAATTCAATCCAGCAGCAAATGCCTGCCCATCAACTTTAGCCCCACTTCACTGGCTGGTGCTCGTCGATAGCTGCGTCGATTGTTCCCCAGCTGGAGCATTAGCTGAGAGTGAACTGAGCCACACCTGAGCGTCTTGCCTCCAGCTATCCCAGACGCTGGATCTGAACTTTGTCGAGCCAGGTTTACAAAGTAAAGCCTCCTTTAAGCCAACCACCAAACGCACAGGAGGCCGCCTGGCTTCCCTGTAGTAGTCCAGCGCAACATTCAACGAAAGCGCAATGTCGAGATCCCTAGTCCGCCTCTTAGTCTTGGAGCCTACTGAAGGTGTGAACCGTGCGCTTTTTATGTGACTAACTATCCAAGGCCACCAGGCGTCTCTCTGTGAACTCTCCCCCAGCAGCTCTGTCACGCAGTAGAGCGTATCGAGGACGAGAAAAATCGTCCCAAGAGTCTCAATGGCTTGCTGCGGTCGAGTACTTACCAAAGCCGCCGGCATGCACCCGCTAGCGTATCCGCAGAGGCGCTCTGCATGGCCCGAAAGCGATTCGTAATCCTTAAGGGTTAGCCACTTTTTGAGGAGTAGGAATCTGCACTCCCCGAGCACAGAATAGGCGGTAAACTGAAATGAACGCAGCGTTGCGGCAAATGTCAAACTGAATTGTTTCACTGGGAACCTCATCTGCCTCGTGGGGTGATGATAAAATGGGTGGGTTTTAAGGACATCCTCGGAAATCCCGGGGTACACGTGTTGGACCCAGCGAAGAAAGCTCCGAGGTGAGAGGACTGATAGGGGAAGTGTCGACTGAAACAAGCAAACCACAAACAGCACATTTCCATGAGCAACCCTGAGCTCCCTACAAGCTGAAATCTTAGATAGCAACCAGCCCCACTGAACAGTAACGGGCGGTGGAGACACTAGAATGCAAAACCGGTGGCGGGTTCAAGACTACGATTATTGCTTTGCCGGCATGGCAAATAAATGAAAAAATGTCCCACCGTTTGGGTTGTTCCGCTCTTCGGTGGCACTGCTTCTGCTGTGGCTTCAGGAGGAAGAGGGGCAATAGAAGACCCAGAAGAAGAGGGAAGGCTGTTCACGTCTGACTGTTCCATTGCCTGCCCTGCCTGGGAAGCAGAGGGGAAATCCTCAAGAATCGTGCTACTCGATACCTTCTGCAAAACGTGAATTCCACACAGTCTCGCAAGTGAAGTACACACGAGTAGAACACAACAACAAATACTCTAGGGAATGCTGCTGGCTGAATGCACTCGTTGATTCAGTTCAAAGACTTACGTCTGCTGTCATACTGGGGGAATCCTCTTGTGGGCCTCCAGCGATAGGCAGTGCCGAGCCCATTTGGTCTGTTGTACTGTCGGGAAAGCGTGACTGCGAAGCGCTGCCCATCTCCTCCATACCAGTGGGCAGCGCAGGAGGGATGATGAACGTCGATAGTATATCCACAGACTGCGCCGAGCCTTCGCCTCCTGCAGGTCCAAGCCAATCATCTGCCGCCAACCCTTGACCGCCTCGGGACGAAACATATTCTGGACCGCTCAACTGAGCAATGTCTAATGAAGGCCCAGCTTCCAAATGGGAAGATGCAAACGCTGCTTGTATACTCATTTTGGCAGATGAAACGCTCGCGGCATCATCATTATTGCTCCTAGGGTCCCCAGGTATCATTGAACTTGCTGGACCAGGGGAGCTTCCCTCTTCCCACATTTCCTCGTCAGCAAGGAGCCAGCTATCGTCCCCCAGCGCAGAGTCAATAAGGGTATCGACGCCCGCCCCTAAGGGTAGCAACGGGCCCTTCTCCTCTCTCGTATTTGATTCAGAAAGTAGCGATTCCTCCTCCTTAGCCAGCAGATGATCAATAAGTAGATCGATGTCGGGGTCCAGAGGTGCCGGTGCCGCCTCTGCCCCAAAGTCAAGGGAAGCTAAGAGGTCTGTCTCGCCTTCTGCCAGCACTGAGTCAATAAGGAATTCCACATCCGGATCGAGAGGCGGGGTGGTCTCCAGATGATAAAAATCAGGCTTATCAAACAGCCCACTCTCCTCGTCAGAAGACCCGGACTCAGGAGATGAATAGGTGGCAGGACCCACTGGCGCCACTGTCGTCTGCATTTGGCCGGATGAAGCTAGCACAAGCTTCTCTCCTACTGCCAACACGGAGTCAATAAGTGAATCCATTGCCGGGTCTAGCGGTGGGGCTGGTTCCAGCGGAGCCTCCTTCAGACGTGGCGCACGCACGATGCCACTGGACTCTTCTTCATTGTTCTTGAAGGCCTCTTCAGCCTTCCTCTTTGCACCTAACCGCATTGTGCTTGCCTTTGGCTCGGGCTTAGGAGAGCTCCAAGTTGATTTACCCGCTGTTCTTGCGGCTCCCCCGCTCGTAGACGTAGACGGCTTTTGGCCCAAGCCTTTACCGCTCTGGAGTCCTGGGAAAGGAGGCACCGGGGAGAGAGAGTCGGCAACCAGACCTTCCTGGGTGGATAGACTGCACATGTCTGGGTCATTGTCGTCAACATTGCCATCTCCCTTCCCTGCCAGTCTTCGTCCAAAAGATGAAGTGGGGATCCTCCTGCGAATCAACCTAGTACAGGTGTAGACAGTGAAGATAACAGCCGAAATTGCAGCAAGCGTAGCCAGCAGCATCCGTCCCTTTGGAAGTCTCGCTGCTTTGCGTCGCCTGAACCCTCCGTACAATCCCTCATTCTGACCTCTGCTGCCTCCCCTCGTCGGAATAGCCGATTGCACAGAGGCGTCAGCATAATCAGAGCCAGCGTGCATTTCCAGGAAGTCCAAGCCTAGCCACTAAGTGCCCGTTCGGTGTTTGCTGCAAAGAAGGATGTGATGCAACTACCCAAATGGCACAGAAAATAATGGACGGGTGGGATAAGCAAAGGGCAAGCCACGTGCTACAGTACATTCAGGCAGCACGGTGCGTCTGGGTCCCCGCGCGGGAGGAGGGAATAAACAGAGAATCCAGTTCTCAGTAGAAAGAAACAACTCCGGTGCCATCTGAATTTAACGCAAATTCAATGAGCAGTACTTGAGACATTCTCTAACCCTCCACAAGTGCCCATGCGTCTCTGCTGGGCTGGCGAATCCTGCCACAGATTTGCGCGGGCCGATGGCTCCCGATAGAGCTAAAAGCTGAATATTACAAGCATGAGGTCTTGCTTAAAAATATTGAAAAGCTGCTACAAGCGAGTCGATTATTAGTAACGAAGCAACACTGGCCATTTGCGCTGCAGCTTCATATACCAGTAAGCGATCTGTCCAATGGCTTCTGAATCGAGCGTGCAGCTTCCCTACCTGCTTCGCTCCCACCGAATCTGTTCCGAAATTCCTAAGGTGAATAATTCAGTGTCTCACCAAAATATGAAACAAACAGAAAGTATCAATAAAGAAGATTTAATGATGGCCTTAAACTCTCTTTCTCGACGCCCGCGACCACGGCGTGCACTAGCGTGGAGGTGCTCCCGTACGTGACCAGGCTCGCGTGGGCGTTTCTATCCACTGCTTGCTCAAAACCAAAGAGCTTCAAATAAAGGTATTTTCTGTTTCTGAGTGGATAAAATTGTCTTATGACGAGTTTCTTTCGCTCTCATGCCTCCTTCCTCTGCGCACCACAGGCCTGCTGTCTTTTTGCGCCGATTGGGTGTAACTCCACTTGAAAAATTCTGAGTTGCCTGTTTCAACTTTCGCACTTTGTCCCTTCGTAGTTCAAACGTTATTTTAACTGATACTTTAATGGAGTTTCATTGCCCTTTCCTTACCTTTACCCCAAGTCCACGGCTTCGTTTGGATTCTGCCGCATCCCTTGCATGTATTTATAGTTCGGTAGTTCGTTCCCAATCTAGCTCGTATTCCCTTCCGTACGTTGTAGTGCATCTCTATAATTCCCTTACCTCTTTTCTCGTTCACCTCTCTTGCATTTGTCGAATTGCTGTCGCCACCAGCTGGGGCTATAAGCAGGGTCAAGAAGCACGCATGACAAATGCAGCAACTTAGCAAGCTGCACCCGCATTCCTGCTACTTTGGAAACAGTTTTTCGGCCGCCAGGAGGCCATAAGAATATTGCAGACGTATTGAACCTGATTCGTAATATCGTCACACTGGAACCAGAAAGGTTTCTTGGAGCTTGGAAAAAGTACTCGCTTAGTTCCTCATGGGAGTTTATACCTTTAGTTTGCATGGATTTCCTGTTACACTGCATTTGCATTTGCCTCCGAGTCTTGGTGGTGCAACACCCACTCCGCTGTTAATGGCTGAACTATTAGTTTCACTTAAAACTTGATCTTCCATTGACGGGCTACTCTCCGTGGGTGCTGATTGCTGGAGCTTGCTTGCTTTGCGTACTTGCTTGTTTCTAGCGAGTCGTCGCTCTTAACTGAGAACCTTCAGGAGCTGCAACAAAGTCAAAATACTTGAATAAAAGTTCACACTAAGTAGTTGGTGAAGTCCCGCATACTTTCCAGGTGTCTTGCGCAGAGAAGCCCAAGGGCGCCGAACGACTACAGAGAGGAAGCGGCCCATTGTGAGTTGCCGCACTACTTCCTTCCACTTCTGCTGTAAGGCATTCCCAAAAGCACGCATGCGGAGGGCACCTTGGCTGCATACACTAACACTGCATAGAGTTACTGTTAAGCGAGTAGTAGGTTCTCAACAGCGAGCCCGCACGGAAGTGGGAATACAAATATCAGCTTCAAACAGGCTATGCTACGTTGTTGGCATTGCCTGCAATGGACCTTCCAATTTGGTCGAGCCTTCAAGCGAACTCTTTGCAGCAGTCAGCAGCAGATCCTTAAACTCTAGCGTGCAGCATATTAAACCTAAACATTTACGGGTCGATACGCGTCGATCCGCATTTATGCGTTTGAATTTAAAAACGCCAATGCGGACGCTTTCAGTGCCGAAATGCACCAGTCGTCTCCACGCCGACGTGTAAGACAACCAGAAACACTAAACAGCTGCAGAGAACTCCAATGGCGGACTCAAAAGTAATTTGTCTGTTCGAGGTGTAGTGAGTGTAGTGATGTCTTGGCTTTGCTGCCCTGACAACTTCGCCGACGTCCCTCTCCAGAAGAACACAAAAATTAGAGCTATAGGATGGCGCAAATTGAGAGATCAACTGCCTCTGAGACTGCACACATCATTCTAGATTCCTTGGTCTCATTGCGTAGTATTAAAACCGGCATAATGCTGTACGGCGCTGTCAGATGGCAACGAGTCACTGACATTTTTCAACAACTTTTCGCATGTGATGCCTTGAGCTTCTCTGAAAAAGTAAGCATGCACATCAGCGAATCCTCGAGACCGTCAAATGCTTGTGCATTAAGATCGATGCGTCCATTCAGCTTCCCATTTGCTCACTTTTTTGGCTTGCCTTGGGAGCCGAAACACCCCAGGAATCGCACAGATGACCCCCGCAAAAGAGTCAAGTTCCACCGCTTTTGCAACAGGTTTCACTGTTTGTGAGGCACAGGTATTAGTGCTTCTGTCACACGAGTTTCGCTGCCTGTGAGCCCAGGCCAGCGACTCACAGGTAAAATGTTTGGAAACGTACCGTTGCGTGTACATGCGTGTATCAGTTTTCGCTCGTGTTTATACCAGCGTTTGTGGATTTGTCAGTCCTCTACGTAGGTGAGAGAATACGTGTGCGGCGTAAGAGTGGATCTGTCAAAGCATGGCTGGGCGGTCGTCGTCCCTTTGGGAGGATGCAGAAGCGCGCCCTTCGTTATGCACCTATGAAAATGGTTCTTCGCTGCTGCACTTACATTGTTTTTTTGTACAAGTCCACTGAACGCGAGTGTCGCGTGTGTCGCTTGTGCGTGCAAAACAGAGTGCAATGCACATGCCAGGCATAGCACAGACAGAGAGATTTCATTAGTAGTGCCACTGTATGACATGTTAATATTGCGTGTCTTCCTATGCCATTCCATTCCTGTCTCTCTAGCGTTGGCGCCTGACGTACCGACGGCATTCCCAGGAATAGCCATTCTTTATGCCAGTGCGTTAGGTACCGACGCCAACAGGTATGAACAATGGATTCTTTAGCGTTTTTCTCACTGAGTGAAGCTGCTTTTCGGGGTCATGTACTCATACTTCTTGGTCACAGCTCACCTCGTCGGGTGCAGCTGATCGCCTGTTGAGAGATGCCACGTGGCATTTCTTTCAAAAGCATCCTTTTCCTCTTTTGCATAGGTACAGATCTGCTCTTTAGTGCTAGATCTTTTGTGCGGACCACCCCAGCAGAAACACACTAGATAAAGTTGCATCATCGGGAGGCGACAACCCGTGAAAATATGGCACAGGCAAAACGCCAAGATGATCAATGAGAGAGACAAAAAGCAACAAAAAGTAACACAACGAACAGCACAGCTCAGTGCTATGATTACAACTTTGTAACGCGAAACAAAACACCGAACTCAAATAAAATCCAAGTTTGCAGCTGTTTGACCCATATCTGGGACCGACGATTGTTTAGGGCAGCAGTGCGCTAAAGAGGCATCACAGCTTCCGCTGCGGCGGCAGCAGCTGTAGCTCCTGCTGCTGCTGATGTCGCTGCTGGTGGTGGTACTGCTGCTGCAAGCTGCATCACCACTCCATGCAGGTTCAGATAGGGCATGAACCTGCACACCCAAGAACACAGAAAAAACCAACGGGAAACACCCTGCAGCAGCAGCAGTAGCAGCAAATTCTTGACAGACAGACAACAAAGTGGCCGTCGGCCGTCTCAGGGACAAAAGACAGTAGCAGCCGTAAGCCCAGGAGCAGCGCACAGATCTCACCTCCAAAACTAAGGAAATCATCCGTCTCAGCCTGTCGATATTCCTCTACCAGGCTCAACACGTGCTCCCTGCGCAACCAGTCGCAGCAGCAACAGCAGCAGAGAATAGCGAAGCTGCGGAAACAGCACTAACAAGACTGCGCACATAGCAGCAGCAGCAGCAGATGCTCCAGCAGCAGCAGCAGCAGATGCTCCAGCAGCAGCAGCAGGGAGGCTGCTTCCTCACTTGGAGTCTTCCATCTCTGAGAAGTCTCCAAGGCCGTCCGGGCTGCTGAACATTGGTTGCCGTCTGCACAAACGCAAGGAATGCAGCAGCAAATGCTGGGCCTGCTGCTGCTGCTGATGCTGTGGCTGCTGCGCGGCTTCGAAGCAGCAGCGCGAACAATTAAGCGCAATTAAGCACTCGCAGCAGCAACCGCAACCAGCAACAAAAGCAGCAAACAGATGCCAGCTTAATTACTTGTAGTTGTCAAGGAAGGCCTTGCGTTTGAAGAGACGGTCGTACTGAACGACACACCGCTCAAAAAGCTGCAACAGCAGCAACAGCAGAAGCAGCAACAACACGTAACACGGACGCAGGAGCCCAGCAGACAGTGCTTCTGCCACAGCAGCAGCAGCAGCAGAGCAGCAGACGTACACTTGTGATTGCCGTGTGGTTTGCCAGCATCAAGCCGGCGCATTTGTGTTTCTGAGGATTAAACGGCGACGCCCGCGCCAACACAACTTGGGGTGAGGCCGGGGCCCAGCGAATAAACTGCAGCAACTGCCGCTCACGGATGCGCTGCAAACTCTTGTGGACCTGCAGCAAAAGCAACACCAACACCAACGATAGTGCTGCAGCTACAGGAGCTCCACCAGGAGTGCAGCAGCAGCCTGTTCAGTCTGTTTATAGAAGGGTTTCTCTTGCACGGCGTAGACCTAGACTCCCTTTTATGAACAGCTGCAGCTAAACACGCAACATCTGCAGCAGCAACAGCAGGAATGGAAGCAGCAGCACCTGCATTGGATCTGCCTCTCCGCGGATCACGTTTAAGAGCGACATGTATAGACCCCGTCGGAGAGAAGTGGAGACCTGCAGCAGCAGCAGCAGCACCAGCTCAGAGACAGCTTCTGTTTTTCTGCAGCACAAGGGCGCGATGCCGGAAGCGGAGCGCCCGCATTCGTGAGTGCAATTGCATGCAGTTGGATGCACACATGCATGCATGCATGCATGCACGAAGCGGTTTATGTTCACGTTTGAGGTCTACGCAGCAGCAAAGCGGCGAAGTGTTGGCGTGGTGGTTTAAGTGCACAAGGGGCGGCCATAGACAGAAGAAGAAAGCCCTTGCGTCTTAAGTTCAGGGTTTAGGGTTTAGGGTTTGAGAGGGAGGCACCATAATGTTTTTGGATTGGGTGAGACGGCGCATGATATCCATGACGGTTGTCTTTTGCACCGCTGAGACGCAGCGCTCAAGGGTGATTGGGGTGTATCCGCACATCAGGTAGTGGCAGCGAGGCACGGGCACCAGGCAAGACAACAAAGATAACAAACTCGAAGACAGAGAAGACGGGTACCGCAGCGTCGCCGTGCATGCGGCCATCACGGTGGAGATCTGCACAGACACCGCAGCGCAGCACCTAAAAACCAAAAAGACATCTCAAGAAGCAAAACAAGAGGAAACAAAGCTAATCAAAACAGCCACGGAAGCAAACCCCAAACATGAAGACAACAAAGATCGCAAGAAGTATCGATGAGACGGAAACAAACAATATAACCTGCAAGGGCTACGGCGCATGCACTTCAACGGCTCCGATGGCGAAAGTTGGGCCAGGGCTCTAATCTAGGGTTTAGGGTTTAGGGTTAGGGTTTAGGGTTTGAGAGGAGGCGCACCAGAGCGTTGGTTTGCTGGAAGCTGGGGTTTGGAAGCCTCAGCCTCTCCGTTGCTACTCTGTGCACTGCATGATTATCTAATACTACAACAGCATCTGCTTGGAGACAGAGGCGTTTTAATGTTAAGACAGAGTTATAAGGCTGCACAACTACGTCGCTTGCGGCGTCTCCTAGCACAGGAAACACCGAAAATGTCTGCACCAACTTCGACCCGTAGCGGTCCCCCAACAACTCCAATAAATAAGAACCCATGCCGGAACCCGTTCCTCCAGCCTGCACAAAACCCTAAACCCTAAACCCTAAACCCTAAACCCTAAACCCTAAATGAGACGAACACTCTGTATCACGCATGATGCATTTTGAAAATTTCCAAGTCAAGACCCCGCACACCCGAAACCCAAACCCTAAACCCTAAACCCTAAACCCTCAACAGCATGCAATAAACAGTATAACAACCTGATACAAACCAGGGACCAACAACCACAAACGCCAGGCACCGCCAAGACAAATAAAGACAAAACGCAGAGATGGAACGTCCAAGGCACGCCAGAAACCCTAAACCCTAAACCCTAAACCCTAAACTCTCACAATGGAGTGGCAGAGGACAAAACCCTCGAGGCTTTCGCTGCCGTCTGCCTCTCTGTCAATCATCTCCAACAACTCCTCTTCTACTTTTGCTGCTTGTGCATAGCCGCTGCCCCAGTTGTTCCCAGCGCCTGCAAAACCACAAACCCTAAGCACTAAACCCTAAACCCCACACCCTAATATCTAAAAGAAAAACATCTAGGCCTCAAACCCTATACCCTAAACCCCGAACCCTACACACCACTAAGCCTTAAACCCTAAACCCTAAACCACACCCAACCAAACCCTAAACCCTATGCGCCAAATGCTCAACCCTAGACCCTAGACCCTAAACCCCAAACCCTAAACCCTTAAAACACCACTTGCACACAGCGAATCCAACGCCGCCGATATTCTCAGAGGCGTGGATTTTGCCTAAGCTGCAAATGCTTTATTTTAATCATTTGTTAGTTTGTTTATCTCTCCTTCTGTGTTTGCTGCTTGTGCTGCAGTGCTGCTGCTGCTGACAGGAAGCCTCGAACTAGCAGCAACGCCATTTGTTTTTTATTCCTAGGGTTTAGGGTTTGTGCGCTTCGGCTGATCCTGTTCATTAGCTCTTTAATGCGTCTCTGTTAATCATACTAACATTCTTCGTGCAGTAATTAGGCCTCTTTGTTTAATTTGTCTCTGTTTTATTTTGTCTTCTTTACTATCTCTTTCTTTTACTCTTTTTTGTTTAACCTTTTCTCCTCGCCCTCTATGTTTGCTTCGGTGTCTGCAGCTGTCTGCTCTTGAGTCTGTCTACTTGGTTTTTGTTTTTCTGCTTCATTTGCTGCTGTTTGTCTTTTTCTTCTGTCTCTATTTCCTCGTTCTCCTTCCTGTCTCTCTCTGTATCTGTCTCTCTGTCTCTGTGCCTCTGTCTCTGTCTCTCTGTCTCTGTCTCTCTGTCTCTGTCTCTCTGTCTCTGTCTCTCTGGCTCTGTCTCTGTCTCTGTCTCTGTCTCTCTGTCTCTGTCTCTCTGTCTCTCTCTCTCTCTCTGTCTCTCTCTCTGTCTCTCTCTCTCTCTCTCTCTCTCTCTCTCT